ATAAGTGTCGAACCAGATTTCATCCAAGTAAATAATTGGCCTTTGTTGTTCTCTGTAAATCCTAATTTTTTCTAGATATTCCAGTCGCCATTTCCAAATTCTAAAAGATTCCATTAAAACTTGCCTTTTGTCAATTTTTTTAAATCTAAAACCCATATGTTGAATACACTTCCATAAGGTAGTTCTGTCACATTTAACACCGGTTTCATCTTTTTCAAGCCTCCTAATTAAGATATCTAATGTAGGCACGCTTTGTTCCTCGTATAACTGGTAAATTTTACGCCGTATTACATCTTGATCACTTTCATCTACACTGGAGAAATTGTCAGAATCGGTTCTTGTTTTCCTCGCTGAAATGGGATTATTCACAAGTTTCCATACAGTGGAATTTTCAGTTTTCAATATGGCCGTTTCTTCTAAAGATGCTTGCTTGCTGGCACCACGGTCAATGAGAGTCAAATAAACATTTTTTATAACTTCCTTAGTCTCAATAGAATAGTCACGAATAGTCACGAAATAAGAATGATTACTAATAAACTTAAACTATGTAGTATACCAAACCAAAGAATATTAAACACAGGTAGGTATAAAATTATTTTCTATTACGGACCACAATTTTACCTGAATTTAAATTTCGAAACTTTAGGTAATAATCTTGTTGCATTGTATGTTAATGACCACCCTTGGATAATCCCATTGAAATGCAATTAATCAATATAGATTTAACATTATTTTTCAAAATTTCTATATAAAATTGTTTCTAAGGTCGAAGGTAAAATTAGTATTGAGAAATTTTTATTAGCAATAATCGGACCATTTGTTAATCTGTTTCCACCTATTTTAGAAAATTTTTATTTTTAATAGTACGCAGGGAAATATGTAAATTTCACCCAATAGTAGATTTGTTTGGTTTTATTGTTTTTCTTTTGTCTCACTTATAATAAAGTAAACAGGACCAATAATCTATCATTTATTATATATGTTTATTTGTAGAAAAAGGAAACTGACGACATAATTAAAATAACAGGACTGGTAACTGGAAGCTGTAAATATTACTGCCTCACATGCAGTCAACTGCAATCCGGTGATGAATTGCCAAACGAAACATATAGGAAATTCCATATAAATTTTCATATGTGCAACTATTGGATCCTCTGTACATTTTATTCTATTATAACTTTTTGAAGGGCCCTTATAGTTAGCTCATGTGCTGAGTTTGAATAAATTTTAATAAGTCAATCTTCAATTACTGAATTAAATATGATTGCAAAATTTGAAAATTTTTATAGTTAGGTAATAGATCAAACACCAGTAAAATACATTTTGACATTGATAACACGAAAATTCGTGAGAGCAACAATATTTTTACTTGTGTTTAATAAATAACAGCAAATTTTCAGGTGCGCACATAAAAAAAAACACAAATATTTTTTCTATAAATACGAAAAGCGCCAAAATCTCCGGGAAGGCGATGAAGGAAACAGATTTTATTAAAAATGTTTGTTTTACTGATGAAAGTACATTCACACTCAACAAGGAACTAGATGTTCAAAACTATCAGTATTGGAGTCAAGATAATGAATATCGTTTTGTTGGATACCCTGATCACCTGACCTCTCGCCTAACGACTTCTTTCTGTGAGCTCACTTGAAAAGTGAGAGTAAAATTTAGAACGCTTTAAGGACAAGGACAAGAACCGAGTATGAGTATCCTAAGAAAAACGTAATGATATACCTACATACTTAGTTTATTTTGAATGTGTGAAACCGAATGCGGATGTATTTATTGTTAACCAATCTTTATTTCATATGTTCTTGTACAGTTTGACGTCGTCAAGTTTTGGAAATAGCCTGACCTTTTGCAATCTCGCCACCATATATAATTCAATAACTGAAGATTGGCTGGATGAGTTAATCATACCGGCCCCTTCAAAAAGTTACATTACAACTTTAAAAATTGACATGGACCTTCCTATGTTCCGTTCACCTTGGAGAAAAAAATTATGAAATCTCTACTAGTATTCAAAATGTAACTAAATTCTTTTAACACACGTAATATTTTCCCAGCACTTTTTGGCACTTTCATATTACTGTATATAACAACTGCTTGATTAATATTTATTTTCATGTAATGTTATCGTGCAGATCTTCCACATAGTCAATAAAGTCTACGAAATGCTAAATATTTTGCAGGCCTTTTTTTCAATAAGAAAATAAAATCTTACGCTTCACGGAACTACGTAAACAAACGTACAATTAAATGAGGTCTGCAGCATTGCATTTGAAAATCACTGGAATTGTGAGTGAAAAAAAAATATTTCCATCACTTGCTCGGGCTTTGATTCGCCGAGAACACAATAATTGTTGAGTCATTCTCTACAAAAAGAAGTAGATAGGAACGATAACAATTTATTTGGTTTATTTCGACAAAAATGTGAAAATATAGTTTTTTTTTGATTGTATGGCTTACGTTCGCAAATTGTCAAAAACTTGTCAACAAATTGTATTAAGCACACCTATAATTGCTGTAAATTTTTTTATGTACCGATATTCTCTATTTGTTAGACGAGTTTCTAAAATAAGTAAGCACAGCTAGTCCAATAATACACAAAAAATTTTCTAGCAAATTGTGGTAGTTGCGACAATTAGATTGTTGAGTTGAGTTACATCGCACTCCAAAGTTTTGTAAATAATTCACCCATATTGTAGGATTTTTTACTTTTTGAGGAATAATCGCTGTAGTATTTTTCACTACAATATTGTGGAATGAAATCCATTAGGTGGTATAAAACCTAGCTTTCCTTTGCTTAATAAATCTTAACAATATGTAACTATTTTAAATAATAATTTGGGATTGAAATAATTTTTCGTATATATACAAGATACCTACGAGCCTGTGAAATTACGAAGTCGATTAATTTGGGGAAAAGTTTTTTTGGTTTGCATTCAGAATGAATTTACAGGAATGCCAAATTCTCAGGGATTTGATATGCAGGATAGTTTTTATAAAATGTCTTATATCTATTTTGTCCATTATTCCTTTGTCGCTCTGAAAAATGGCATGACATATGGCAAAATAGGTTTGAGCATTTTTCACGGTTCACACTGTATCTCAGAAAATACTAATCCTTGGAAGTACATTTTAAATGGGTTCAAAAAAGGCGATTTCCTTTTTTAAAATTTGTACCGACTAAATAGATTTTATTTTTTCATAAATGGAAAGAATATCACATTTTAATACAAATATGATTAAAACATTGCATTTTAAAATGTTTTATTTATATTTTTTCTCATCTTAACAAATTAAAATAAAAAAATTAAATAAATGTTTTTTATTTATTATTACTTACGATTAAAAAAGTATCATAAATGATTACCTTAAATTACTATGAGCAACCCACAGAATAAATTAACACAAAATATTTTTAAATATTTTTACAACAGAAAAATGTATCAAAAAGTAATAGAATGACCTTTTTATCATTGTTTTTAGTTCATTTCTGATTATTAATGCCACTAATTTGTTCCGTAAAAACTCTCTGCCTTCTCCGTAGCTCGCCTTTAATAATTTTCCTTCTTCCATGCATTCTATTAAGGTCTTGACAGTCTAAAAATTTAAAAAAAGGAGCCCAAGCTACTTAGACGAGATAAATTTAACCTTTCTAAATAAAGCCTAAATACTGTGTCGTTTATACTTTCTGGTTGATGTAGTTGGACTGCTGCAGTTCAAAATCCTCGAAATATTAATTTATATGTAAAGCTGATGTCTGATCTAATAACATCGTAAAAAAAATAATACCAGTTTTTAAACTATAAGCAAAAGCATTTCTTGAAATATTTATATCATTTTAATAAATAAAATAATTAGTAGGTGAGCACAAACAGGTGGATATCAACGGAAGCAACCTACTACTATTTAGAAATATAATTATATTTTAACCTTTTCCACATTAGTATGACTGGTACCTGCGCAGCTAACTTCAACACACATATTCGACATTGATTGATATTCCTGAACACTTGACGATACTTTTAGCCTAGGTACAATTTTTTGGCACTAGTCACTTCATTTGCTAAAATGACCTAATTTTTGGAAGTTAGTTTCTGTCAAATTTGATAATGCGTATCTAAATTTTTGATTGGCTTTTCTGTGTCCTAACCCATGGTCCGATCTTATTTATATGCGTGTTCAAAGCTTAGACAAACTGCACTCTATAATTTTATTTTATACTTCACCGCCAGTTGCTACGCTGGCTTGAAATAATTTAAAAATTTTGCAAATACTTACCTATAAAATGAATTACTGCACCTCCTCCATTATCAACAAATAAACGCACAATCACGATACATACAACACACAAGCCGCAGCAGCCGTCCACCACTATATGCCGATAAATTACTAAAAGATATTATTGAGTTTATTTTGTCTATTCAATAAACTTTTTAACATAATTAAGTGAATTTTAAAATACTAAGAGGAAACCCCATATGCATATCTAAAAAATAATTTTAAGCAAACTTATCAGCATAAAAATTTAAGAATTCAGGCAACAACGTCATGGAACCTGAAACGTACAATTATGGGAATCAGTCTTACAATATTCCTAACCAAAACTAATTGTAAAACTGGGTTCAATAATTATCATAAATGATAAATTGCAATTTATAGTACCATTTTCTACAAAGATTGATTCTGTTTCTAATAAAATAGTAGTAATAATTTTGACATCCACTATAGGATTATCTTATATAGTTTGCATTTTTATTGAAAATAGTAAAAATACCAGAAATACCATTATATATACCATTTTATAATGACTATATATTAAAACTGTTAAAAAATGTTAGATTACTTGCGACATTATTCCTTATTTTATGAATCTACATCTATATGATGTTTTAAAGTTGACTTGGCAATATGCAGACGATTTTTTACGATGAAGTATAGACGGAATCTTAAGTCCCGAGTATTGCTTAGCTAAGGTCGTGTAGAATTTTTACCTGCGACGAAAAACATCAGCGTATTGGCCACCATCTGCTCGAAGGTGAAAGGACGCTCGTCATCCCGACTGCCCTCGTGGAGCTCAATGAGCATCTGCATAAAATCGCTCCTGCTGAACCCGTTCTCCTTCCGGTAGTCCCAAACGTTCCGGACCACGTCGGCGAAAAAGTCCGGGACGCCCTTTTGCGCGACGCACACCCCCATCCTCTTGCACTCCTCCGGGAAATGTCGGATCATTATGAACTTCAACACCCGCGCGAACGTAGGCTCGAAGATCTTCTTGCTCCACTTGCGGAACTCCGAGTCCGGATCTGCGAAACTGTTGAGGTCGAGGCCGAACGCGCAGTTAGCTATGACGTCGATCGTGTAACACTGCAGGACCTCTTTGATGTCGATGTCTTCCGAATCTATCGAAGTTAGGCGAACATTCACGACAATTCGAAATTTCCCGCCAAAAGTGGCTTGGACGGAGCACTCCACTGCACCACGCTGTTCATAGATATAAGAAAGTGACTAACTGATACGAATTAAGAATAGACCCAGGACGCAAGCTGTAAGAATGAAATATGGCCGAACAGGTCAGTACTTTGATTAGAATTTAATTATTTTGGGGTTTTGTTAGAAAAGATACTAAACAATATTTATTTATTTATTTATGTATTTATGTTTAAATCTAAAATAAAATTACAAATTATTTTTATTCTCTACTAAAATTACTTAAAATTATTGACATAATATATCAGTATCAATATCGCTATCATCGCCTGTTCTAATTATTATTTGTTTTATATTATTTGCAATATGGATATACGATTGTTCTGCTTTTTCTATATGTTTAACAGAATTTGCTCAACTTTGTGGAGGGATGTTAAAAACTTCGGTTACTATACGTTTGGGCAATGGAGTTAACACGGGGAAAAACATTATTTCGACGAATGGCAGATTTCAGTTGGTGCCAAACATGTTCAATGGGATTAAATATACAGTGGTAAAGTGGAAGCCTTAAAACTGTATGCCTTAGATTTTTTGCATAATTATCACAGACGTATTCCTTTTGTAGGTTCAAGCTTTGTAGAACCTCAATTAATTGCTTTTTGGTATAATCTTCGTAAAAATAAATGTCGTTATTATACATGTAGTTTTGGAGTGTTGCTTTTGTATCACTTGAGGAAGGGGTTTTATTCAACTTTCTACTGTGATAACTTGCATTGTCCATTACAATGACGCTATTAGGAGGAATGTCTGGAACTAGTTAAATAAATCAGCGGTGGTGTCTTCATGGTAATCCAGAGTATAATCTTTAATATTTTTCGCAGATAGAGAAAGTCCATTTGGAATCTAACCATCTTTAAAGCCAGCATTGAAAATAGTTATTCTTTTATCTCTTTTTGATAGCGCGTTTGTTTTACACTTATCAGTTGAGTCAACCCAACCCTTTTCCGGGGTTATCATAAGTGTCGAACCAGGTTTCATCCAAGTAAAAGATTCCATTAAAACTTGCCTTTTGTCAATTTTTAAAAATCTAAAACCCATGTGTTGAATACACTTCTATAAGGTAGTCCTGCCACATTTAACACCGGTTTCATCTTTTTCAAGCCTCCTAATTAAGATATCTAATGTAAGCACGCGTTGTTCCTCGTATAACTGGTAAATTTTACGCCGTATTATATCTTGATCTCTTTCTTCTACACTCGAGAAATTGTCAGCATCGCTTCTTGTTTTCCTCGCTGAAATGGGATTATTCACAATTTTCCATACAGTGGAATTTTCGTTAATGTGGCCGTTTCTTCTAAAGATGCTTGCTTGCTGGCACCACGTTCAATGAGAGTCAAATAAACATTGTTTATAACTTCTTTAGTCTCAATAGAATAGTGTTTTCTACATTTGGGCGGGAGCATTTCCTGAGATACACTAGACTCGCACATATTTTGCATAATTCGCACACGATTCAAAACACGATGTATTACACACGAAATAAGAATGATTACTAATAAACTTAAACTAAGTAGTATACCAAACCAAAGAATATTAAACACAGGTACCTGAATGTAAATTCCGAAACTTTAGCTAATAATCTAATAATTGTATGTTAATGACCACCCTTGGATAATCCCATTCAAAAGCAATCGGTTGCTTTCTTATATCTATGAACAGACTATACTGACTATTTACTCCCATGTACCGGGTGATCATTTAAAATTAGTCCGCTCACACACGTATATTTTATTTTCCTTTTATTTCTTTTATTTTTATTTAATTCAACTACGTTCAATAGCTCAGATCTGTTCCATGTTTCAATTTAAAACCACGCGAGTATGTTCTTTAAATTTCCCGTAAATTAACGCGGGAGTAAAAATGATGCTCATTTAAAAAAATGTTTTTTGGATGGATGAGTTTTCAACCAGTGGTATGATAAATCGAACAAACAGCAGACAGTGGCCACAGTAAATTCTCATTGTTACAGGGAATATCAGTTTCAATACGTCAAACTGTAAATGTGTGGTGTGCTATTTTAAGCAACAGAATAACTGGTTCTCATTTTTTCGACGTTACTCTAAACGGTAATGGCTATCTGAATTTTCTTCAAAACGATTTAGAAAACTATATGGACGAGCTCCCATTGAAACATCTAGACAAGACAAGACAAGACAATCAAAAGTTTAATGAATGGATTGGAAAGATGGAACAATATAATGGCCAGTCAACAGTCCTGACCTGACGTCGATGGATGGATGCAAATACCATCGGAAACAGAAAACATTTAAAAAAACCTGATTAGAAGAGAATTTCAAATTCTAAATGAAGAATATTCCCAATCTATCACTGCCGCTTTAGAATGATTAGGGATAATATACATCAAATGTATTGAAGAAAATGAAGGACCAGCTGAACAATTCCATTTGTAAAACTAATTACCTGCATATTATATTATCCTAAGTTTTATTTCGAAAACTATTGAAGGATATAGTTAGGTATTAGATATGGGTGGTACCGATGAAATGAAATACTCGGGGTGAGCCAAAATAAAGTTTGGGACTGGGCAGCAGCATTTCCAATGCCGAACTGAAGAACATAAAAAATGATCTTGGACTGGTTCAGGCAAGGACAATGGAGGGCTCGACGGTAGCAGTGTAAGATGGCCATCATTCTGCAATGGAGAAGGCAACAGGAAACCACTCCATCATAACCCTCCAAAAAGCATGGCAGTTTTAAATCAACAAATGAGCCTTAGTCCTCGGCACACCTTAGATCAGAGGCTGCTAAGAATTAGAAGAATTAGCTATGCAAATTTGTATGTGGAACGTTCGTACAATGCATCAAGCAGGAAAAATAGACAATACTATAAAAGAGATCGACAGGATGACCATCGATGTAAATGGGGTGTATGAGATGACATAGCCTAATTGTGGAGATAACAGTGGACTACACCAAAACGGAGTAGGCATAATAAACAACAACAGATTGCACTGATAGTGAATAATGTTGTGTCCATTTCTGAGAGAATACTTTTACTTCAACTAAACACAAAGCCAGTACAGGTCAATATCATGCAGATATGTGCACCGACGGCTGACAGGCATGACGGTGAGGTAGAGAGTTTCTACCATGACCTTCGTCAGACTCTCAGAAGGCTAAACATAAAAAACACCAGAATCATTATCGGCGAATTTAACGCAACACTGGATAAGGAACGTGGTAATGAGTTGTGTATTGTCAAAAAAGAATACTCTGCCAATATGACAAAATTAACCTAAAGGACCCAACAAGTGAAACAACATATGTTTGGAAATTTAAAGGCTGACGACACTACTCAAGACATGAACACTGAAACTAATAAACTACGATCAGTTGTGAAATCTGTAAATGATATTATTCTGAAGCCTGAAAAAAACAGGAAGAAGAATCGATGGATAACTGACGGAATACTCAGATTGATTGAGGACCGTCGGAGGGTGAAAAACAAGAATCAAGATAAATACAGAGAAAATCAAAAAACCATACGAAAAGAAATAAGATAGGCTAAAAAAAGATGGGCTTTATAAAAAAACTTAGAAATGAAGATCTTGAAAAAAAAACACGATAGCTTCAAAGAAGGTCAAAGAAGTAAGTGGTCTATATAAAACACCTATGACGGGCCGCCTGTTAGATGAACGAAACAATATTATCATAGATAAAGACAGGATAATTGACATTTCGAAGAAATATATTTACCCTCTATTCCAGGATGAGAGAACTGACGTCTCAATTATCAACGCCAACAAGGGCCCCCTATTACCGCTGACGAAATGTGTAAGACCGTCAAACAAATGGAGGCTGGAAAAGCTTCAGGGCCCGATGACGTCCATGCAAAATTCTTGAACTTCTGGACAAAGACGTGATGATGTGCCCAACAAAAATATTTAACCATATTTACCATACCAGAGATATTCCACGGGATTCGCTGAAATTCTCTTTTATCTCTATTCCTGAGAAAGGCTGCGCAAAACAATGCTAATATTATAGACTAATTAGCCTCATGAGGCAAGTAATTCACAAACATATATATAACAAATGCGAGGCAAATTTATCTAACACGCAATTCGGGTTCAGAAATACTATGGGAACTACACAGGCTTTATTCGCTATTCAGGTTCTTTTCCGGCACTGTGAGGATGTTGACTTTTACTTATACCTCTGCCTGATAGACTATCAGAAGACGTTTGATAACGCCCGACAAAACAATAGAGGATTTAAGAACTATCGGTACTGGCATCAAACAGCTACTCTCAAAGTGGAGGGTAAATACTCGGAAGAAATAAATATAAGTCGCGGTGTAAGACAAGACTGTGTTTTGTCTCCTACCTTATTTAATCTTTACTCGGAGCATATATTTGACATGGTACTGGAGAATGTGGACCCCGGAGTGCTGATTAACGGAGAGAGGCTGAAGAATATATGTTACGGAGACAATACTGTTGTGTTCGTTCATTCCCTCGAAGATCTCCAAGAATTGATGAACCGTGTCTTTGACGCCAATACTGAGTACTACCTATCTTTTAATGTCAAGAAAACCAAGTTCATGGTAATTAACAAGCATAACATACAACCCGACCAATTGGAAATCAATCAAAAAAAGTAGCTAACTACACATATTTCGGCACTACGACCAATGAGCACTGGGACGACTCTGTAGAAATAAAATGCTTATAGAGAAAACAAGAGTCACCTTCGTTAAAATGGGAAACATGTTTAAAAATAGAGACCTTAATTTGCAAACCAAATTAAGACTACTTATGTGCTATGCTGTGCTCTTGGATGGTGCCGAGTCTTGGATATCGAAATCGTCCACAAAGAAACTTGAAGCTTGAAACTTGAGCGTTCGAGATGTGGCTCTACAGACGAATTCTTAGAATTTCCTGGATTGATCACATTTCCAACAAGACAGTTTTAGAAATGCTTCAGAAAGATCAGATTATCTGGGACATATAATGAGGAACCACAAGAGATATGACCTGCTTCAGTTGATACTCTAAGGAAAGATCTTGAGAACCTGGAAGATGTAGAATCTTCTGGTTGATAAACCTTAGAACTTGGTTTTCCTTGTTAACTCGAGGATTGTTCAGAGCAGCAGTCAACAAAGTTCAGATCGCTTTGCTTACCGCCAACATCCGGAATGGATAAACACACCAAGAAGAAGAAGATTAGGAGACAAAATGTTTTCTTCTTTATGGCTGAATATTTGTTGAAATTTTTCATAGATTACATGAAAATTTTTTTTTCTTTTATATCTATATATATATATATATATATATATATATATATATATATATATATATATATATATATATATATATATATATATATATATATATATATATATATATATATATATATATATATATATATATATATATATATATATATATATATATATATATATATATATATATATATATATATATATATATATATGGAAAAGAGCATAGTTCTGCTAAATCGGCAACTGTCACTGTCAGTTATAAGCAAACATTTCCTTTTTTTTAGACGAACTACTTCATAGTCACCCAAGATATAAATTCTCAAATATTATTTTATTTTTGAATATTGATTTTATGTTAAAAGATATCCTGTTACTATTGTTTGAACAACTTTCGTATTTGATGGTTTTTTTTCAAAAGTTAAATAAAAAACTTAAGCGATGGGGCATTATAAATGAACACCTGGTAAATATGGTGGTCGGTAATCAATGCTCCAAGAAGAAATCATAGGTAATACTCGTGCAATGATAAGTTAAGAAGAAGAAGTGAAGGGTTGATTTAAATATGTGATATAACAAATACAATTATGCAATAGAATTTTGAAGTCGAAAGTTTGTGTGCCATCAAGAAAGTCATGAACAAATCCATTTCAATGTCCATAGGTATAAGTAAAACGAGTATATCGAATATCTATGAATGCCGAACGGAACATAAGAAATCCCATGTAAATTTTTAGGTGTCCAAATATTAGCTCCTCTGACAATGACTTATTTGGTTTCACACATTCAAAAAAGTGTTCTTGGAATGAAATTAATTTAAATAACGGTTTAAGTAACAACGAGCTTCAAAGAACGACTATAAATTCGACCTTTATGTATTTTATCAAAAATAATTAATAATTATAATAAAAATTTGGCTGCAAAATATTGCTAAAAGGAAACATTATTAAAAATTATCATTATTTTTTAAGCATCAACCTTCCACTAACACTTAAACAATATCCGATCATAAAATTCATTTCTAACATTGTTTAGTTGATATTGCGAAATTCTGTGACTTTCAAAGACAATAGCGCTTTGAAACTGGTTAAGATTTTCAAATTTAACATTTTTATAGATAACACTGGCCTCACAGACAGAAGTCGTTGGGCGAGATGTCAGGTGACCTGGGTTTCCAAAGGATTCGGCACCTTAAGGCAATAATATTCCCGTTAAAAGTGTTTCCCAAATACTTCCTAACCACAGAAAATTATGGGTGGGACAACCATCCATTTGGTGATAGATCTTCGCCAATAACTTCTTCTAGTGCGGGTTCAATTTGATTTTGTAATAAGTTCAAAGAGGTTTTTGCCTTGAGTCCATAAAGCCCCATAATATGATGATTTTTTGGGGTTCCGAGTATGAAGAACATAATAGTCACTGACAGTTTTGAACATATGGTTCGTTGATGAGTGTGAATGTACATTTATCAGTGAAATAAATATTTTAAAAAAATCCCTCTCATTATTTGCTTTTTCCATCATTTCTAAACACAATGCTACTCTTTTTTCTTTATCACCTTCCCGGCGGTCTTGGTGCGTATTTATAGCAAAAATATTTGTGTTTGTTTTTTAATATGCGTAACACTGTGGCACGATGTTTATTTACAACTTGTCCAGGAATCCTCGTACTAATCATTTTCTTTCATTAGCAGAAAAATAAGCTGAAAACATTTCAAACTCTACTCTAAGACGGTTTCCAGCATAATACCACTTAATTATAGTTACTTTTTCTTCAATTGAATTACGCATATTTAGCTTTAATTAAAGCGCGTTTAATAACGTATAACAATCACCAAAATATTGTTACTGTCACAAATTTTCGTGTTGTTATTGTCAAAATGTATTTTACTGGTGTTTGATTTATTACCTAAACTATAAAAATTTTCCAATATTGCCATCATATTTAATTGAATAACTGAATATTGGTTTATTAAAATTTATTTAAACTCGGAATATGAGTTAATCATGCCGGGTCCTTCAAAAAGTTATATTATTTTGCTGTAAAAAAGGAGAATCAATATTTGAGCACATATTCTAACACTTTTCATTTCGACTGTTAAGTTTTGATGGCGAAGAGCTTTGAACAAACTAAGAATAATAATTTGCTCGTTGCAGTTTTACTGATCTGTTTCCCTAAGTCTTAGAATATGGTAAGCTAGCTAAGGTTTACAGTCCAGTAACGCATTTAGAAATGAGTAGTTATCCTAACGAGGTTCCCCGACACAAATTTCCGAAAAGGTTTAACGAGAAATCGAATTGACAACATCGCACGTGGTGTCTGGTTAAAATCGCTAAAATTTTCACTACGCATGGGTAAAAACGCTGTACCTTTAGTTTTCAAATAGTCGATCATGTGGCGGGCGGTTTTGACGATTAAAGGGCGCATGGTCTTGATTTTGCCCGTTGTAAAAGTCGGCGTCAGCCTTTGTCTCAACGGCCTCCAACTGTGCGTCGGTACGAGGAAGAGGTTGGAGTTTATCGGGTCGTACTTTTCGTTACAGTACACGTCCCGGTCGGAGAAGTGGTTAAAGTCCTGGAAAAGACACTCGGTATACTATAATTTTCGATGGTTCATTTCGTTTTTAAAATACTGGGCGTTGCCGAAAACTATGACTAGCACGTGTCTCGGTTGTTACGATTAATATTGAATTCCTTACTTGTCAATTATGCCGTTTATATGTTAGACCTCTTTCATCCTGTTGCCATGACTGTCTCGGTCTTCCTCTTTTCTGTAATTGTAATTATGTCTGTATAATTATTTTGTTTGCCTTCTAGTCTCGATATTCTCCACAATCTCCTCAAGCAATCCGTTTATACAGCATAGGACGTAATGTGTCCAACTTTATATAGTTTTCAGTGTTGTCAGATTTATTACATTTATCCAAGATGACCATAAAAGAGAGTTTAGTTTTTGAATGTCTGTTTTTCCCTGTCACATTTTCCGTCCTATGTAAATTATGCCCCAATTATTTAAACTCATCGCACAGGTTAACCATTCCTTAATTTGTATGGATATCATCAGACTTCTTCCCGATGCCAAAATATTCCGCTTTATTATTCCATTTTTTGTATTCTTTTAGTAATTTTCCGAACATTTATCATCTCATCATCAGCAACAAATAAGTGAAAGCGCTAATCGTTATCTATTTGAATACCCATACCCAGGCACATTCTACACCATTTTCGTAGGGCTTTCTTGGCGTAGAATTTGAAAACTGTAGGTTGTTTGAACAGTTATTTTATTTCAATTTTTTCTGATAAATATTAAAAATGTATCTAGCTCATGCTGAATTTTGTGAAGTGCTTTCCAATTTTTCGAACACTGTCAATAGACCTTTTCCAAACCTACAAACATTAAATGGGTACCAATGTTTCTCTATGCTATAAACTGCTGTAATGTGAATATGATATCCAAGCAAGATCTTCCCGCTCTAAAGCCGATATATTCTTCATCATCCTTTATATTTGCTTCTCCTTGTCACACTAATGCCCCTTGAATTGGTATATATTGTCCATTTACGAACAGTACATTTATAACAATTGCCAATATTTCTCTAAGTATAAATGTTCAAAGAAATTTCCGCAGGTACTGTAATACTATTGCTTCAGTTGTTTCTAATTCAAACTTGTTGACGTTTCGCCAATCATCTTACTAACTTTTTCAGAGCTTAACTTGAAACTGGCTCTCTATCCGCTTATCTACTGTTTGAAAGGGGCAGAGCTAAAGTAGGGGCATAAACATTATCTCGGATGACTGATTCCCATATTGGTCAAAGGTCGCGGTTAAGATTGTTTGATTGATTATAAATTTGGATTAGGATTTTTCTTGGTGGTAGAAGAATTGATTGAATGTAAGAATTTTAATTTTATCAAATAAGATTTAATGTCCGGTTTCATGATCGCGTTCGTCAACTGCTGATGAGTATATTTGTCGTAATCTTAAGTCTCTTTGAGCCTAGTTGATATTTTTAATCCATTCTGCTGTAAACTCCTGGTATCTCAAACGGAATTCGTTACAGGAAATCAATGGATCAATCAATCAAATTCTTCTAGCAAAGAAAATTTCAAGAATCTATACGAATCTTTAAGCAATCAAACAATCTTAAGGTACAGAGTAGAATGCTAGTCAGTTAAAGTTATGCTCTGAAGAAGCCAACAGGATGTTTTGCGAAACGTCAGCAGGTTCGATTTATAAACAACCAGAATGTGATGGATCTAGAAGATTTTTAAATAGTACTATGAGTTCTATTGGGGCGTCTCTTTTCATCTTGCAAAAATAAAATTTTGATGAGCAAATTGTCAACTATCGATTTCTCTCAATCCACACTATAATTTTTTGAATCGTATTGTAAAGATCGAACACAATTTGTTAGCCTGAACGGGAATGATTCATCCACTTTGAATCTAAAACATGGAGTCCCATAAGGATCTGCCCCCGGGCCACTTTTCTCCATTGTTTACATAAACGATTTCCTTGCATTCCCATCAAATGCACACTTTTCGCTGATGGGGTTGAGCTGGAGCCTCACAAAAAATACAAAAACTTTCCAGTCTAAAATATATTATGCAGTTACACTATGGGGAAATTCTAGCCACGCAATAAGGGTCTTTAGACTAAAAAAAAGGAAATTAGAATTATATTAAATCTCAATTACCGCGAATCATGTGGAGCTTATTTTTCTAGTCTTCGAGTAATGTACCTTCAATCTTCAATATCTTATATTCAGACATTCATAACTTTTCTACAAGAAATTTTCATCTTCTGCAGGTGCCTCGTTATCGTTTAAATAAAACTAAAAATAATCTTTCAAATATAGCGTTTTGCAATGCTCTTCTAGCAACTATGAGTGTATGAGTGTAAAAGCTTTTCATACATATATTTTTGATGCTCGAGTATAGTTGATCCGATCTTTCCTCCTTGGACAGACTGTAAGTTTAGTGCCGGTCTTATTTTAAACAGGACAACTTACCAAGGCAATTTTTTTTGTATGCACCTATGTATTTTCGAAAATTACGATATTCCATCGAAAGCAATAAAACTGGGAGTGAATAATTTTTTAACCTCACCCGGAAGGAGAGGTTGCGAACTTTTCCATAAGTCAACAAATAGAAATTTTCAGGAAAGCCTTATATTTCAAAAACGAAAATCCTTTTTGCGTCATGCGCCGCGAAAACTTGGAAAATTACTTTAGTCAGCACGTCCTTGATCAGCTGGGGATCGACGAGTATCAACGCTTTCTTGGAAAAGTCCCAGATGCCGCCGAACTTGTGGCCCTTGCCCTTCAACTCGTCGTACCACTCTTTGCTCTCGATACCGTAGGACATTTTTTTCGGGAGCAGGTGTGTACTGTTACCTACAATTCACTATTATTAACAACCTAATATTGAGCACTTTTTTTATTTACAACAAAAACGATTTTCTTTGTCACCTATATATATATATATATATATATATATATATATATATATATATATATATATATATATATATATATATATATATATATATATATATATATATATATATATATATATATATATATATATATATATATATATATATATATATGATGATGACACTATATGAACACTGTTCGAAGTGTTTTCGGAGCGCGAGCATTGAAGATGCCAAGTGAGATTGTAAACAACTAGCTAACATTTCTGATTTCAGGACCAGGATTATAGGAGAGGCCAGCGAGATAGAAATGTCCGGACATCGAAATACGAGAGACGACGTTCAGCATTGATCCAATATGTGGCAAACGATAATCAAACGCGATAATTCGGTGGGCGGAGCCGGTTCCCCTCCCACAGATGGAGCACCGTTATAAATACCGCATGCATCGCCGATTTCGAAGCGTGAGAGTAGGATAGATTTGCGGGTTCCAGATCATGTTCACTGAACACCCCACTGTTCACCTCACCCAAATCGCCACCACTGAACCCTCCACTCCTCACCCCACCCAAATATCCACCAATGAACCCTCCACTCCTCACCGACCAATAAACCCACCACTCCTCAGTAAAACCAAAAACAAGGGTACACCGCAAACAATAGCAATTTTTCCTTGTTAATTTTCGAGGAGTAGGTGAAAGTCGATGTTTATTTTATTTACCTATTAAAACACAACCTATTTTAAATAATATTCAGCGTTTGTTGTTATACTTTGTGCTGCACTTTCGCTTTCGATAACATCGATAACAAATTTCCTCGTTTAGGTACACAGAATTAAATTCTTTTCTTCGATAATCGTTAAAGTTTATTAAAACAAATCTGCTTTACATAATTATCAGCGGATGCGTTTCGGAAAAAGTTGTTATAAAGAAGTGGGTCAATGTCTTCTTCGCGTTATTACACGTTAAACAAATCTACGTTACATAATATTCAGTGCAACGGATGCGTTTCAAGGTGGAAAAGTTTTTTTTTATTTGAATAAATGGTTTCCGTTGGATTAAAGACGACAAATATATATATATATATATATATATATATATATATATATATATATATATATATATATATATATATATATATATATATATATATATACACATATATATATATATATATATATATATATATATATATATATATATATATATATATATATATATATATATATATATATATATATATATATATATATATATATATATATATATATATATATATAAGTGCATATGTAAATAACCAATATTCATCTAGTATATTCTCGTAAAATTCGTATTTATAAAAAAATGTATTCCTGACCAAGTATCAAAATTTTCCAAACCATCACTTTGCAACAAAATGCAGAAGATATTAACGCCCATCAGCTGGAAGAATTCATAGAAATTATTGATACAATATCTTCCGAATCTAATAATGAGGAGTGGAAGAAACAGTGGTTGATCAAAATGATAAAAACATTCTACGTTTTGCTGAGACGGTCCAAGAAAAATCTCTCCAAGAACCTACCGTTGTTCATCAACCCAACGATGTGGAAATGTCGGTTTATACGTCTCGCCGCGAAAAAAAAAAGACAAATTAATAAATATTTCTTAAAAAACAATATTTTTTAACCCCCTATTTTCACTAATATCTATAAAAACCAAAACATAGATAGTTCACTGGAGACTCAAAGATTCGTTGAAAACTGAATAAGGAAACAAAATACATACATGATCTCTTGGGTACTTTTTTAGAGATAGGCAGGAGATTGTTGGTTTGTTTCAGTCTTATAGCGTAGTGAAACGAAGACGTTCTTGTAATACCGTAGGCATAATGCTGATTGGACCAAAAATGTTCTTGTTTCATAGTATTAAAGCTGTTTGACTATTTTTGTTAAGGGATTATAGCTAATTAACTTATGATGTAGAATAAGACAGTAAACTGAAGTATTTTTCTTAACATTTGTATTTGTTTCGAATTCAACTCTCATTACAACAGAGCCTGTTTGAAGAAAGTGGTGAATGGTTCATGTTTAAATGTATTTTTTGTATAAGGTATCCCATCGTTTTGTGAATCTGCATAAATGACAGAATCTGCATAAATTACAAAAAGATCTTTGAAAATTTTCAAACAATATTACATTTTGTCCGTATTTATTAATTTTTATTTCATTAGTTGAAACTCTTGTTACTAAATGGTTGCAGTCATGCAACCAATTGATGTTTCTCTAATTTCTCATTAGATGTAAAATAAATCAAACATCCATCACAAAAATATTTTTTGTTTTTGTTTTATTTATTTGAGATGATACCATCTTGAGATATCCTTAATCCAACAATAGTGATTATTTTCACCATCACTAACTAATAACAAATTTACGTGTACTGGTAATTTTTATGGTAAATCATATCCGTATAATGAAGAGGGCCCACAACTTCATATTTTAATTTATTTTCGTCATAAACACTTTCCAAACCATATACGATAACAGATATTTGATTTAAAGTTTCAAATCTCTTTATATTATTCAACTTGACTGAAAATTCTATTCCATCAAAATTTAAAACATATAGAAAATTTCGATATGATCTGGTTCTAGCAACATTATTTTGAGCAGGATACAAAGCACTTGTAATACTCCATACAAAGCAGAATTGATGGCAATTTTTCACATTAATAACTGCTCCCTTATATTGATATAAAATTTGGTAAAGGTATGTAAGCTGATTCTCTTAGCCGATTGTACTTATTTACATTTACTTCTAAGTGCAATATTTTTCCAAGGTCCATCCAGATCCATTTTCTGTAAATATTGACGCTTTTTCATTCATTATTGAAGAAAATTCGTCATAAACTTCATGTAGATTTGTTGTGGAGGTTATAATTCTATTTTTAATATTGACTGTAAAATAAATTATCCGAATCTTGACAGACTTGTGTTTTTCTAATTGCTCCAAAATTAATCTTGTAAATTTTTCCTTCACTTCGTTAAAGATGTGATCCTATGTTTGAATTTCGAATTTATAATTTTGACATTTTCCTTCCGGACTAATTCTTTTCTATGGAGAATTGAACGCAAATGGGTAGTAAGTTTACTTTTTACATACCAGTTGTCACACTCCTTACAATAAGAGAGCCTAAGCCTAAAAACTTATCTAACTTTCTCTTCGAATTTGACGAACAAGATTATCTTTTATGTCTATAGAGACTTGTTTATGAGTAAATGTTTTATTACAGTCGTTGCACTGAAACATTTTTGTAACTGTACTGAATACCTATTGAGGTTTATGTGTACTTTTATATCAGTGGTCTTATTAAAATCGATAAACATTAAGTCCACCGTTCTCTTCTAAATGAATAAAAAACCAACTAAACTAAACAAACAAAACTAAAAACTAACCTTAAACTACTTCAAAACGAAAGCGAAAAGGCAGGCATATATCTATCTAAACATGTATTATTTTTTAAATAAAAGTATAGATCATTCATAAATTTATTTTTTATTATAAACATTAGTACATAACATTTTAAATTTAATGATTTATAAATAGTAATATCTTTTCTTCTCACATAAATTTTGAAAATGTTCATTAATGACGTTCTCCTTCCGTGAAAATAAATCCAACAACTGCTCATACGAGACGGGACGAAAGCATTCCTGAATCACTTCAAATCTCTTCACTGCTCTCCAGCAGTGGGTCTACGCAGATTGAAGTCACTAACGTTGTTTCCGTCGGTAAACCAAACCGTAATGGCTACAAGCCAGTTAAAGTGACGCTGTCTAAACCCAGCGACGTGTCACTTGTGCTGAAGAGTAGGAGAACACTCCCTGAGAATCACCAAATTTAAGTCGAGGCAGATCTTTGTCCGGCGCAACGTAAGCATATTCGGGATATTAAAGAAGAACTGCAACATCGTCGCTCGAATGGTGAAAACAGTCTGATTCTAAAATACATCCGTTGTGTTCCCACTATCGCTACAAAAAAACCAGCTCCGCCGCCACCCCAGCCAAAGAATTGACCTGTATGTACCAGAACGTTCGGGGTCTCAGAACTAGGACCCATGTCTTTTACAGTGGCGTAACTTCCTCAGGGTATGATATCGTTGCTGTTACTGAATCCTGGCTTCAACCAGATTTTCGGGACACTGAACTCTTTCCTGATTCTTATCTGGCCTACCGCTCAGACAGAAGGCAAGATCTAACCGGAGTCTCCAGGGGCGGTGGTGTCCTGCTCGGTGTTCGTGACAGTTTTGAGTCCGCAATTCTGGATACCTCCGACATCAGCAACAGTGCTCCAAGCATAGACTTTTTAGGCTGTAAGATCTCTTTAGATTACTTTGTATTTTATGTATTTTTAGTATACGTTCCTCTCACTGCTGCCAACTTCGAAGTTGAGAACTTTTTTGAATCTTTGTCGTCGTTGGACTTGTTGTTTGGCTGATCTGTTTTGTTATTGGGTGACTTCAATATTCCTTCTTTCACTGTATCAGCTCATATCAATGTCCGACATAGATCCCTACTCAACCTCAGCGCCATATTGAATCTTAAACAGCATACCTCTGTAACTAACCTAAATCACCGTTGCTTAGATCTCGTTTTTGCCAATTTCGACGTTGCGATAGTGAGAAACGCAGTACCACTTATCGACGAGGAACCACACCATCCCTCGTTAATAGTTTCTCTCCAAGTCTCTTTTCCACACGTCTCTAATTTTCCAATCAATAGGAACGATCAAACCGAATTTAACTTTAGGAAGGCCAACTGGCAGACTGGAATAGTGTTATGGAGTGCTCGGATGTCGACAGGGTTCTAATATTTTTTTACGACATGCTAAACAATATTTTTGCCATTTGCACGCCCACTAAAACACCGAGACGAAGGCGATTTACATCATGGTTCACTAAAGAAATGATCGCAACTAT